ATTTTGATGTAGCTATGCGATGAGAAAACAATCGCGGTTTATTTTGAAGCCTTGTCGAGACTCATGATTTTCTTCCTCGGATGTCTGATCAATTTTCATTTTTATGGTCCAATATGCTTCTAAAGATTTTGATCTATACTGAAGCGACAATGATGCTATTATCTCGAGAGCAGTTAACACTGGTCGGCTATTGGATTTTCTTGTTCATTCAGTTTCCACTTTTTTCCTATAAAATATCGTATATGATTAGAGATAATTGATAATTGGATGTTTTATATGTTTTGTTTTGATGTAGCTATGCGATGAGAGAACAATCGCGGTTTCTATTGAATATTTGTCGAGACTCATGGTTTTCTTCCTTGGATGTCTGATCTTTGTTTGTTTTGTGATCCAATAGGTCTTTGAAGATTATGATCTATGCCGAAATATCAATGACGCAATGCTCTCGAAAGAAGTTGAAACTAGTCGCTTACTAGTTTGTCTCGTACAGTCAGTAGCTTTCTTCCTGTAAAAATATTTACAAAAAATCAAGTATGATGAGAGTTATTGATAAGTGTATGTTTAAGAAGTTTTAGTTTGATTTAGTTATCTGATGAGATAATAATCGCGGTTTCTTTTGAAGTCTTGTCGAGACTCTTGATTTTCTTCCTTGGTTGCCTGATCAATGTTTGTTATATGATCTAATTAGTCTTAGAAGGTTATGATCTATGCCGAATTACCCTGACGCTATGCTCGCGAGAGTAATTAACACTAGTCGACTACTGGGTTGTCAAGTGCAGTCCATAGCTTTTTTCCTTTACAAAGTCATGCATGATGAGAAGTTATTGATAATTGTAAAATTTTAGATGTTTTAGTTAGATGTAGTTATCTGGTGAGAGAACAATTGCGGTTTCTATGGAAGCCTTGTCGAGACTCATGATTTTCTTCCTTGGATGTCGGATCAAGGTTTATTTCTATGATGCAATGATTTCAAAAGTCTATGATCTTTACTGAAGTGACAATGATGCTATTCCCTCGAGAGCTGTTAACACTGGTCGGCTATTGGCTTGTTTTGTTCATTGAATTCTTACTTTTTTTTAATTAAAAAATCGTATATGATTAGAGATTATTGATAATTGGATGTTTTGTTTTGATGTAACTATGTGATGATAAAACAGACGCGGGTTCTGTTGATGCCTCGCCGAGACTCATGATTTTCTTCCTTGGATGTCTGATCAATGTTTGTTTTGTGATCTATTAAATGTCTGACGATTATGATCTATACCGAGTTAACAATGATGCTAGTCTCTCGAGAGTATTCAACACTGGTCGGCTATGGGGTTGTCTTGTTCAGTCAATTGCTTTTTTTTCATAACAAAGTTGTACATGATGAGCGATTATGGATAATTTGGTGTTTTAGATGTTTCGTTTTGATGTAGCTATCTGATGAGAGAACAATCCCGGTTTCTTTTCTTCTTGATCCAATATTATTTGGAAGTTAATGATCTATACTGAAGTATTATTGATGTTCTTTAGCCGAGAATACTTAACACTGGTCGGCTATTGGGTTGTCTTGTTGAGTCAATCCTTTTTTTTTATAACAAAATTGTACATGATGAGCGATCATGGATAATTGGTGGTTCTAGATGTTTCGTTTTGATGTAGCTATGTGATGAGAAATAATCGCGGTTTCTATTGAAGCCTTGTCGAGACTCATGATTTTCTTCCTTGGATGTCTGATCTTTGTTTGTTTTGTGATCTAATAGGTCTTTGAAGATTATGATCTATGCCGAAATATCAATGACGCAATGCTCTCGAAAGAAGTTGAAACTAGTCGCTTACTAGTTTGTCTCGTACAGTCAGTAGCTTTCTTCCTGTAAAAATATTTACAAAAAATCAAGTATGATGAGAGTTATTGATAAGTGTATGTTTAAGAAGTTTTAGTTTGATTTAGTTATCTGATGAGATAATAATCGCGGTTTCTTTTGAAGTCTTGTCGAGACTCTTGATTTTCTTCCTTGGTTGCCTGATCAATGTTTGTTATATGATCTAATTAGTCTTAGAAGATTATGATCTATGCCGAATTACCCTGACGCTATGCTCGCGAGAGTAGTTAACACTAGTCGACTACTGGGTTGTCAAGTGCAGTCCCTAGCTTTTTTCCTTTACAAAGTCATGCATGATGAGAAGTTATTGATAATTGTAAAAATTTAGATGTTTTAGTTAGATGTAGTTATCTGGTGAGAGAACAATTGCGGTTTCTATGGAAGCCTTGTCGAGACTCATGATTTTCTTCCTTGGATGTCGGATCAAGGTTTATTTCTATGATGCAATGATTTCAAAAGTCTATGATCTTTACTGAAGTGACAATGATGCTATTCCCTCGAGAGCTGTTAACACTGGTCGGCTATTGGCTTGTTTTGTTCACTGAATTCTTAACTTTTTTTAAATTAAAAAATCGTATATGATTAGAGATTATTGATAATTGGATGTTTTGTTTTGATGTAACTATTTGATGATAAAACAGACGCGGGTTCTGTTGATGCCTCGCCGAGACTCATGATTTTCTTCCTTGGGTGTCTGATCAATGTTTGTTTTGTGATCTATTAAATGTCTGACGATTATGATCTATACCGAGTTAACAATGATGCTAGTCTCTCGAGAGTATTCAACACTGGTCGGCTATGGGGTTGTCTTGTTCAGTCAATTGCTTTTTTTTCATAACAAAGTTGTACATGATGAGCGATTATGGATAATTTGTTGTTTTAGATGTTTCGTTTTGATGTAGCTATCTGATGAGAGAACAATCCCGGTTTCTTTTCTTCTTGATCCAATATTATTTGGAAGTTAATGATCTATACTGAAGTATTATTGATAGTCTTTAGCCGAGAATACTTAACACTGGTCGGCTATTGGGTTGTCTTGTTGAGTCAATTCTTTTTTTTATAACAAAATTGTACATGATGAGCGATCATGGATAATTGGTGGTTCTAGATGTTTCGTTTTGATATAGCTATGTGATGAGAAAACAATCGCGGTTTCTATTGAAGCCTTGTCGAGACTCATGATTTTCTTCCTTGGATGTCTGATCTATGTTTGTTTTGTCATCTAATAGGTCTTAGAAGATTATGATTTGTGCCGAATTACCCCAATGCTATGCTCTGGAGAGAAGTTAACACTAGTTGCCTACTGGGTTGTCTTGTGCAGTCCGTAGCTTTTTTTTCTTAAAAAAATGCATGATGAGAGGTTATTGATCATGTATATTTTAGATATTTTAATTTGATGTAGTTATCTGATGAGAGAACAATGGCGGTTTCTATTGAAGCCTTGTCGAGACTCATGATTTTCTTCCTTGGACGTGTGATCAATTTTTATTTCGATGATGGAATGCTCTTTTAAAGTCTATGGTATATAATGAAGTGACAATGATGCTATTCTTTCGAGAGCAGTTAACACTGGTCGGCTCTTGGATTGTCTTTTCATTCAATTCCTTTTTTTCCATTAAAAATCGTATATGATTAGAGGTTATTGATATTTGGATTCTCTAGATGTTTTGTTTTCCCTTCTTGGATGTCTGATCACTCTTTCAGTTGAAATTCATCATCTACTAGGCTGTCTTTTTCAATCTTTTCTGAAACTTTTCTTCGTTCTTAAACTTTACACAATGAGAGAACAATCGCGGTTTCTATTGAAGCCTCCTGGAGGTTCATGAGTTTCTTCCTTGGATGTCTGGTCAATGTATGCTATATAATCTAATAAGTCTTTTAAGATAAAGATCTAAGCTGAAATAACAATTTCGCTATTCGCTCGAGAGTAATTAACACTAGTCTTGTTCAATCAATACTGATTTTTTTAAAATCATTTATGTTCAGAAATTTTTCGCGCTTTTTAATATCGAAGTTTATAGTGAAGAGTCTTAAATTCTTTTGGTTTCTTTGAAAAGCAAGGTTTTATTGATTTTTTTTCTCTGCAGCTGTGATGAGAGAACTATAACGGTTTCTTTTGAAGCCGTGTATAGTTGTATGATACTCTTCCTTGGATGTCTGATCATTGTTTTTTTTTCTGATTTTTGGTTTTCGAAGAGTTTGATGTGTGCTAAAAAGCAGTGACCCTAACCTTTCCAAAGGAATTGGCACTCGTTGCCTGGTGGCTTGTTTTGTTTAGTTGTTAGTATCCAAGTGTCTAATGGAGTCCAAAATAGACTTGTTGTTTCTTTCGATGTCTGCGATAAGTTATCATTTTGAATGTGTTTTGTGTTTTAATGTAGCTCTGTGATGAGAAAAATCGTGGTTACTATTCAGGCATCGTGGAGACTCAGTTTTTTAAGAGAGCTGAACGCAGAGAATACTCTTCTATAGGTCATGTTGATTTTTTTCAGGAAAGTCGTAAAGTTTGCTTAACACTAATTTTTACGCAATAATTTCGCGGTTTGACTTTTGATTTATGTTTAAGTCGTTCACTTTATTTTCTTTTTTAAAAGGAAGGCAAACTCTACTATCAAACAGCGAAAGTATAGAGTCCTCGAAAAACGTAATCGATTTTTATTTTCGAAAGTTGAATTTAATTTCCAAGTTGAATTTTCGCTGTAGAATCAAAAGTTTACACATTGATCCAGTTTTCCCAAATGGGGCTAATTTTATCACAAAAAGTGTCAACATACATTTTTCTAGCATTTTAAAGAATTTTCAGGGCATTTATTTTTTATTTTGAAATGAAGTTTTTTTGTTTCATTGCGCTCATGACTCTTTTCTAACTTTCAGTTGGCTTTGTTCTTCATTGGATGTGTAATCAATATTTTCTTTGGTTTTGAAGATATTGTTATGTGCTGAAAACATATCTTTTCTTCATCAGAGGGTACTACTTGTTGTCTACTGGCCTATCTTCTTCAACTTTAAGATTTAATATATCCGATAGTTCTAGCATTTATGCTGCTTGTCGGGATAACGTTCATAAGCCTTCTTGGTGACAAGATGGGACGATTAAATGGAAATTGAAGTTATGGATATCACTGTTGTTTTTAGAAAGAACCCGGAGGAACTATGGCCTTGGGAGATGTATACTGTCGCTTCAATCGAGCACGAGGTAATTTATATAATAAGAGTTCATCAACACTTCGAATTTTCACTAAGTGTAAAAGAACGAAGCGATTGACACCTCAACTGGGCGACTTTGAAAACGCAACAGCAATATTTTGGTGAGCCGAGAAATATCTCATGGTGGTTTCTTGGATAATTTGCAAAATCCATTGGCTTGCTCTAATAGGTAGCAACACATTTTGATGACTTGCATGGAAATTAAGCTTTAAAAGCATGTTTTGGGCAAAAATACCGTAAAAAATTATTGCTGAAAAACGTGTTTCAATCACATTTTTTAAGTCAATTCGCGTTTTAATGGTCAATAAACTAAATAAAACTGAAGGTCAAGTCACTTTTTTTTCTGTTAATCAAAATATGGCTTTCCTGTTCAACTTCAGGAATAATTTTCTTTCTAGCGTACTAGAAAACTGAAAGTTAAGAATTGAATCAAATGTAAATTTGTTGCTGAATCTGCTTCAAAACCGTCAGATGATTTCAGTTTCTTCCACCATTTTGTTTTGAGGAAAATTTTTGTGAAGTTTTTGGTGATGCGTTTTCATTGACGCCTGGTATATATAGCTCTTGATGATTTTTTGTTTTACTTTAAGAAAAAGTTTTTGCGGCTTTGTTTTTGATTTTTCTAAGCTCAGTTCATTTTATCGTTAAAAAGAAAGTTAACTCCGGTGAAAAAAGCGCGTATCGATTAATTGTTTTTAGTGGGATACCTGAGGAAGAAAGTGACAATCATAAACAAGTCTCAAACTCCAGGAGCTTTAACTTCATATATTTTGTCCTTCGAAACACAGACTATTATTTTACAAATAGCACTTTAGCTTCAAGGTATCATGGATCTGTAGCGTAGAGGTAGGGAAGGAGAACCGCAACAAATTAAAAGGGTTCGAACTTGGGCAGGGTCGGATGTTTTTAATGAACTTTTTCGTATACTAGTAAAAATGTGTGCGCTCTATAAATTGAGGCATGTTAGTTGGTAATTTTTTTAATTAGACTGGTACTGCTAATGTGTCAAAATTGGCTTGCGTCACATAGCAATTATATAGACTCAAAATTTTCTCATTCAGTTTTTCCCAGTAGCGTTAGCGGTTAAATTTTGCTTGTGTATGCGAAGTGCAACTTTGACTCTGTGTCAAGTTTCGTAGCGTTCCTGGCCAACTTAGCCTGGAGTTAACGAATGTGCCTGGGACGGCAAAGGTCCTGTTTTCGAGACGGACCAGGACCCGTATTTTTTCAAAAGGGAAGTATTCTGTTTCAAAAAAAATGTCCGCCATTTATTTGTCTGTTGTCGGCTTAGTTGTCGCATCATGGAATTGTAGTTTTTTCAACGAGCATGTTTTCTATTGTTTACAGTGTTTGATTTACGCCTGCATTTTGTAATTTTACTTAGCTTTACTTCATAATTCCTTTGTTTTTTTGTTTCGCCAAAAAAAATTCCCCGACCAAAATTTTTTCGGTCTATTTTTTATCGGCTTAATGACCTAATATTGGAACGTTTCAACATCAACACAATTTTAGCACTCCCGTCTGCACTTAAGTTGGTTGTATGTTCACCAATCTGTTTGTTGAAATTCCATTTTGTCGGTTTGGACATTTTTTTCACTTTTAGCAAAAAATATATTTTTCTCAGAAACTTTTCCTGATTTTCAAAAAAGGATTACCAATTGAAAGACCGCTGGTTCCTCTGTGTGCCTGTATAGTACCCTAGAGTCTTATTTCACTTGACCCCTCTTTCTACAGCCTTTGAAAAAGTGTGGGGAAATATTTGACACATAGTTTTGATTTTTTTCGTTTTCTCGGAAACCGCCTCTCTCAAATATGAGTTTTTGGTTTCACTTGATAGAACTGTTTTGAAAAGCTCCCCTGCATAAGTGGCTATGACAAATTTTTTTGCATATAAATTTATGGCCCTCGGAATGGTCAATTTTTGATTTTTGACTGTTTTGTGGATGTTTTCGAAAACTAACCTCTCAAACCTGATATTGTGAGTTCAATGAGATAACTGGTAGTTGAAAGCTCCTCTGCATTCGCGGACACTAACAAATAATTTAACACAAGAAGTTATCATCTCTGAACATTCAAATTTTTTTAACCGTTTTCTTAATTTTTTTGAACATTCTGAAAAGTACCCTGCCATATTTGAGATTTTGGTGTTCCATTCAAAGAAGGGATTGTGAGATGCAATTACTGCCGAAATTTTCTGACAGCAACATTTATGGCCCTAGCAAAAGTCAAAATTTTGATTTTTTGGTTTTCTTGTTTTTCAAAAAATTTTTGGCCATTCTCGAGAACTACCCACCTAACTATGAGATTTTGGGCTCAATCGAATTTACAGTTTGAGTGAATCTCTTCTATACAACAAAGCATGATTCTCGGAAATGTCAAATTTTTGATTAGTTGACTAGTTTTTGGACTTTCTCGTTCTTTATCTTGCCAAATCTGATATCATAGGTTTAATCGAAATAGCAGGCTCTTGAAAATTTAACTTTATAACTGGCTTTGCCTAGTTTGTTTAAGAAAAAAATATGACAAATAAACAAGTTGACAGTTTTTTTTGCAAATTTTCGACTTTACGCGAAAACCATTGTGCCAATTCTCAGGTTCTGTTTAATCGAGAAACCCGGTTTTGTGAATTCTCTGTTTGAACGGCCACAACCTGCTCCTTACAGGAACAAATTATGAATTTTGGAAATCTTTTTGACAGTTTCTTAGAACTTTTGACCTTCTAATTAGAAACATGAAATAAAAAAATAATAATTTTTTTAAATATTGTACAATCTAATCTGAGATGAAAAAATCAACTGAAACAACTGGTTGCGATAATCCTTTCTGCAGAAGCGGTGGCTTCTTAACTTTTTGTTAGAGAAATGTTATTTCCTTGGGAGATTTGAATATTTCAACTGTTTTTTACTCATCTCGTTTATTCTAGTAGAGAAGCAATTAAGGTGTTGGGCAAAGTCCAATTTTCGAGCAAACTCATTCAATATTAAACACGTTCCTCCAGCTTTAGTTGGGCGGGATTTTGTTATTTTTTATCGATACTTAACGAAAAATTTGGTTCACCTTGTTTTTTTCAACATCTAGAATTTTTTTCGTCTTATGTTTTTTAATGTTTGCATTGTATCGCAAGTGGTTCGAAGCTCCGCTTCGCCTCTGTGTGCACTTTCCAATCACCAGTTGGTTATGTCCTTGAGGTTTTTTAGACACTTTTTGCCACCATCTGTTGGTTATATTTTCTTTTTAAGATTCACAGTGTAAATAATGTCACGAAGTGAAAGCAAATTACGCTGTCAAATAAATGAAAAAAGAAAGGGCGCGAAAAATAGAGCATTACGTTAAATAGTAAAAGTGGATGATAGTTCTATCAATTGCGAGGAATAAAAAGTTTACATACAGATCCAATTTTCTCAAATAGTTTTTTTTCCCAAATGAGAATTTGAAATTTTTTTCGTGAAGCTCCAAGGCCTCCAATTAATTTTTTTTTTCAGTTTTTATGGAATTTCATGATTTAGAAAATTAGTTCATTGCACGTTTTCAACTGTATGTTGGCTATGGAAAATAATTACCCAAAACTTACATAAATATGTTTCTAGGTGTTGACTTAGTATCTCCTGATGACTTGTTAGTGGCTTGTGAGCTATTCGACAAATTAAATCTGCCGCTTCGTTTTCGACGCTTTGAATCTGGAGTCTCAGTAGTTCAGATGCGGGAACTGAGTGATGACAAATTAGTCGACGAAACCGTGCGTCTCCTGGAAGCGTATGAATGTCTTACAGCTGACGAACTGTCTAGGCATATGGGAATTTCAGTGACATTAGGCAAAGAGAGACTTCTTCTTTGTGAACAGCAGGGAAAACTGTGCAGGGATGAAAACGTCGAGGGGCTGAAATTCTATATTAATAAGTTCGAGTTAATGGCTTAATTCTTCAAAATGGCATTGGCATTTGATTTATAAGTTTGTAGTTAGTTTATTATTGTAATTTTGTTTGATTCTTTGAAGTTTTTATTCCAATCAACTCAAAGGGCAGGGCAAGGATATGTGCAACAGGCTGAAATTTATCACCCATCGATGTCAGGGCCTCGTAAGAAGGTTCACAAGTGCAATAGTTCTCGAGTGTAATATCATCTTAAAATAAACAGACAAATGATGGGCCGACAATTTTTTAAACGGATCAACTCAAAGGGCAGGGCAAGGATATGTGCAACAGGCTGAAATTTATCACCCATCGATGTCAGGGCCTCGTAAGAAGGTTCACAAGTGCAATAGTTCTCAAGTGTAATATCATAATTTAGTGTTTATTTTTTTTTCACATGGGTTCCGAAAAGAAATGGGACTTATTTTTTTTCACATGGGTTCCGAAAAGAAATGGGACTAGAAATTGATCTGATCGATTCGATTTCATTTCTAGAGCGCAGACTTTGTAAGTGAGCTAATTCAATGATTACGCTTGCGATAAACGAGCTTTATCAAATCGGAATATAGACTTTTTAAGGTTAACATTTTGTTTAACATCACTTGGTGTCTTGATTCATAATAAACTCACTTTTCTAAGCGCCTCCGGCACACTTAGTCTAGAGGTAACTAATACGTCTGTGATGGCAAAGATCATGAGTTCGAATCTGACCACGATCTGTTTTTTTTTCTAACGGGAAATTTTCCGTTTAAAAAATTGTCGGCCCATCATTTGTCTGTTTATTTTAAGATGTGGCAACAAAGTGCACAAAAAAACAACGATAATTGGTTACTGTGCAAGTGGCACAGAATGTTCCGACCAGTCTTAGAAAAGTACAAAAAAAAACTTTTTTTTTTCAAATTAGTGACGTTTTTTTCTGCATGGTGTGATGAAAAAATCTGAACGAAAAAAAAACGAACTTAGGCATAGTTGACAGTCATTCTAAGAACTCCATTTGGAAAACGGTTTTTGAAGAAAATTGGCATAAAAAACCAACGAAAAAAAATTGAATAATTTTTTTTTTAAACATTTTATGCAGAGTTTTTGGAATTTTTAATCTTTGCTTACAGAATGGCGCTAAAAAACTTCAAACACTACTTTTATTTGAGTAAAACGAAGTTGTCACGGCTTAGTGTAAGCTCAAATAAGCTATTGTAAGCCTAAAAGCTCACACGATTTTAGTTCGAAATTAGACCAAAAGTCAATATTTTCAAACCGGTTTTTTCAACACCGTCATTCAAATTGCGATTGAAAGGGCTTCAATATGATATATCAGTCGACCCATTCCGATAATTATTCGTGGTACCTGATTTTGCGTGGAAAATAAAAAGAAAAAACTAAAACACACCCGAATACAAAGCTCATCGCCATTTTTCAAATGGTCGGAACAATAAGCATGAATTTTTTTGCTGTATGCAGCTTTCGTTGTAGTTGCCTTATATGTTTTAATTTACTGCTCTCATTTGTAATTCTTCTAGCCTTGATTCGTATATTTTTTTGAATTTTTTTGCTCAAAAAATTTTTCGGCCTATAAGATATCGGCTATATTCTACGGCTTATTAACCTAAGCTTGGGTCGTTTGAAGTAACCATTATTTGCATGCTTTCTTCCGGATCGGACAAGACATTAAAAATTTCAGAATAGAGTTTTATAGATTTAAGTTTTTTGTGACAGTTTTTCATCATTAAACGCTGTCGAATGTGTTTCTGGACGTGTTTTCCGCAAATATAACATCATTTCATCCAACGTTTTTAAGTTCTTTAACTACCTTGCAATGCTCTTGTCATAGTATCGCAAGTAATGCGAAGCTCCGCTTGGCCTCAGTGTAAAATTTAACAATCGAGGATGGTTTTGAACCAGCAGAAAATTTGGTTGAACAGTTAATCCAAGTTAAGATGTGTTCAATTTTGATTAAATTTGTTTAGCGCTGCGTTCAAAATTCTCGACTCTGATTGGCTTAAAAACTCCATCGAAGAACCAAGTTAATATCCCCCTAAACTGTTTTTTTGAGGGGGGTGGAGGTGTTAACTTAGCTTAGTCGTATTGTATTAATCCAAGTGAATTTTGCTCATTTCAGTTTGTTTTGTTTTTGATCTCACCTAGTAGCTTAGACATGTCTGGTACAAACTTAGGCTTAAAATTGTTGAAAAGAACTCTATCTACAAAGAACTGTTTTCTATCCCTCAACAATCAGTACTCGACGACTACCTCACTCGATCCGAATTCAACGTCAGTTGCCAAATCTGGTATTTCATCAAGCGGGGAACAATTTTTACCTCCATTGTTATCAGAACAAGCAAAAGGTTTCATAGACAGGCGGAAAGAGTTTGAAACTAATTCAAACGAGGTTTCGGCTCTTATAAAATCAGCTTTTCCCTACGTCACCAAAAGCGAGTTTAACCAATGTTTTAACATTACCTGTGATAACAATAGTTCGCTTTTTATACACGCGCGAAGCGGTTATACATTTTGTCCAAAATGCAAACTAGTTCGCCAGAAGAACTCGTTTTCGTCGAAATGCTTCTCGGATGCAGAAAAATTGGAAGCCAACCAGACGCAGCTTTCAGACTGTTTAACTTATTATAGCCAGCTCTTTCCTGGGCAAAATGTTGTTAAGTTTAAGAAAGCAGATTTAAATAGTTGGAGAATAAAGAAAACCTTGCAAATGCATAAAGCATCCAAATTATTTCTGGATACTTTTGAAGAATTTGACTGTTATGCGAATTATGACAATTGCTCGATATATTTCACTTACCGAAATTCAAATGGAAACATTTTGGGCCATCAAGCAATTTCATTGGACAACTTTGATTCGAAAAAATCGAAAGCTTTAGAGCTGCAAATTCCTGAACCGGAGCAAAATATGGAACAAGTTACGAATAAGAAAGCCAATATGTTACTTCTAAAAGAAGCAATTAGCTCTGAAGATGATTATCTAATTATTACCTCAGGTGTGCTAAACGCGTGTGCAGTGTACCAAACATCGTCTGTGACAACTTTGTGCCTTGAATCTTGCTCAAACTTTGAGTTCCCGAATGAATTTGTCCCTTTTCTAGCACAATATGACAGAATTGTTTTCTTCTTACCTGATATGGCTACGAATTATCAAATTGTCCACCAAGTGTCAAAAGTATTGGGGCAAGACCGATGTTATTACATCAGTTCTCAAATGGGTTGCAAATTTAGATCTCCTTTAGACGCATTAAAAGGATTGTCTTCATCCCATGAGTTTACCAACATGCTTAACGATTACAGTGTCCCAGTTAACTCGCTTGCTTCCAATTTTGCTGATTTGCTGAATGAGGCCAAAGATTTTCTCTCAGATCCAAGGTCGAGTTTGGGTTACCCTTTTCACCGATTTGAACTTCTGAATGACCTTTTGGGAGGATTGAGGTTGGGCGAAATGACTGTAGTTTCGGGTGACACAGGTCAAGGAAAAACAACTTTTGCAACTGAAATGGCTCTCGATGTTTGTCTACATAATAATCTACCCACTGCTTTTGTAAGTTTAGAAATGCAACCGAAAATTACGCTCTTGAAAATGGGTCGACAATTGATTTTGCAAGAAGTGAGTTTGAAGAATTTTGATTATTTTGAAGATGCGATTACGAATGTTCCGATGTTTATATCGAACTGTTCTGGCTATGTCATTCTGAAAGATATTCTGCTGGAGTTTGAGAAGATGTGCATGCAGTTTGGAGTACGTCACATAGTCATCGACCATCTGCAGTATCTACAGGGCATCGAGATGCTAGATAATAAGGTACGTGTTTTTTGCTGAACATCACCGGCCATCGATTTCTGTTTTATAAAACTATTTTCCGCAAATTAAGCTTCCGATGAATCAGGTTCCATTCATTTGGTCTGCACGTTCTGTGGCAAAGCACTTTAAGATTAGCTTCTGTCGCATGTTTTCCTTTCCTATTAAAATATCTGGCAGAGTATTAGCTGATGATCGTGAAGGGTGTAGCGCGAGGTCGATTAGGTTCTGATTGCATTATAGTAATTAATAGCTGAGAGCATAAATTAATTCTGGTGAAAGATGTCTAAGAATTTTTTCAGGTTATTTCTTCAGCTGAAGAGTTAGTGAGTGTGAACAGAGTGCTTCGCAAGCTGAAACAGTTCGTATCCAGTTACAACATCCACATGACTATCCTGGCCCAGCCCCGTAAAATGTACGGTGGACAGGGAAACAGTAATGGAACCAGAATCCTGTCAAACCATGAGATTGCGGGAACAGTTGCACTGACGCAAATACCAGACAATATTCTCATCCTTCAAGCTCAAAAGAACTCAAACGGTGATCAGTATTCGTACAATCGAAATGGAAATAAAAATCAGCAAGGGTCAACGAGCTCTTTTCCGAAAGTGGAAAAGTCAACTAAATACATTGAAGTTACTAAGAATAGGTTCAAAGGATCGTTGGGCACGATGCCGCTTTTGTATTGCGAGAAGTCAGGCACTTTCTCGGTAGCTGCTGCGACTCATGCGTATGAGAATAAAACTTCAAAAACTTGAACACCTCGAAAAGTTGTTTAATGCGGTTTAGGCAGTATGCTGCTCAAAGAACGCTGATGCAATCATTTGCAGTATTTGTACTTGCAGTATTCTTGTGCTTAACTGCAGAGAAGTCATTTTATTTTGTTCTACTTCAGTTTATTTTTATTTGGCAAAATATTTATTTTTCAATTTTTAGTAGAAATTTTGTTTTCGATAGGTGCAAGGTAAGACTCCGGAACACAGTTTGCATATTTAAAGAAAAAACTGTTTTGAGTGTTGGCTAATTTGTTTTTCGTGACCGCTCCCTCCTCCTCAATGGGTGTTTTGGGTTGGCGATTGGGTCGAATTACTGGTCATCGTAACAATTTGATTCAGCAAGTAGAAATATTTTTTGAAATACGCGTCTTAGCATCCTCCGCCCCAATTTCCCCTGAGGAGCTGGCTAAAGATAACTTTGAAAAATCTTTGCTTACTCTAAAGAAGCGTCAATTGGCATTGCGCAAACATAATTTAAAATGGAATCTTTTCATTTTCAGGTTTTGAATGGCGCGAGATTCTACAATGGAAGTTGAGGAAAGTTCAGCCAACACCAGTGCTCTGAATCAGACTGGGGGAGGGGACGAAAACGGGGAACCCCAGATGACCTACGAAGAACTGGTCAGTCTGTGTGCCCCGATTGCGAAGCCAATGGCTTCCAGAAGACTCACGAAACAGATCTACAAGCTGTTGAGAAAAGTTCAAGAGGGTGGCATTAGAAAAGATTGTTGTTTCTATGGCAACAAGGCAGTGATGAAACATTTGAGACACGGTGTCAAAAAGGGTTTTGTAGTTTTGGCGGGGGATGTTTCGCCTATTGATCTGCTATCGCACATCCCTGTGTTTGCGGAAGAGAAAGATATTCCCTACGTGTTTGTGCCGTCTCAAGACGACTTGGCGTCCGCTGTCGGAACTAACGCGACGATGTGTGTGTTTGTCTCGTATCATGAAAATGTGGCAAAATATTACAACTCGTGTTTGGAGGAAATTACGTCGATGCCCATGCCCGTCTCATAATCGCAAAAACTTCAGAATACCGTGCAGTTAAAACTTTGAGAACGCGTTTGCATGATGTTGATAGGTTTTAGCTCAGACCCTAAAAGCATCTAAGAGAGTTTGTATCTATTTCGTGGTTTATAAGATAATGATACTCGAAATACAAAATTTGCTTTGAGGAACTGGTCTAACATACTTACGCTATTCTGTGCATTAACTTTTGATAGATAGTGACTTCGGAAATGAGATAGATACAGGAAATGCTTAAACGATTTATAAATGAAAATTTCATGGCAAGAGTAAAAAAAATGAAAGTTTTTTACAGCCGAGGTTGCTATTATGCTGTTTTGGAAAGTTCAATAAGTTATTGGACTTGTTAGTTGTTTTAAGCGCATTTTCTGTTGCTAGGAGATTCTTCAATTCAATTGCTATTCCAATGTTTTTGAACTCGCTTTTTTGCAAGTGGCCTATTTCAATCAATATTTTGGTCCTTCAGGAGAGTATATCAAAGGCGCCATATTGTAAAGCTTGAAAATGAGCCAGCTTCGTTTTAAGAGTTCAATTAAAGCTGAGCTTGATATGCTCAGAGCCACTTAACGCATATTTGCAGCTTTCCGATGAAGTTACTGAATAGAAATGGTTTACGCAGAGTTCTGCTTTGGTCATAATTTGATCTCAAGTGCGCACCTGCCTATGAACAATTGAAATATGCACCAATTTGCTGAACAAACACTTGTTTCAGACTGGAAAACCAGCAGTCCTTTCCGTCAAAAGCCGATCAAGGCTACTAAAACCCCTTATCCGGAAATGAAAGTGAAAATCCTTTGATCCCTTCGTGAATTGTATTAATTTGAATCTTAAATTGGTCAAAATTTATTGTTTTGCCGTCACTTTCAAAAAATAGCTGATGTATGTCATCCCACAGGTAAGAAGAATTCTTCTGAAGCAATCAGGAAAATCTTCAAACTTCAGACAAGATTAAGAAATTCAGGAGTTTAAATAAAATGGTAGGATTTTAAGCCCGCTTGATGCTCCCTTCAGAGACTCGGCCCCCTCAGCATCTAAAGGGTCTGGTCTACCCTTAAGAACAATTTAACGACATCCAACATTGGACTAGCGGCCCTAAAAATTCTACAGGTGCCAGTATATACTAATTTTGAGTGGGAGCGTACTCCGAAACAAAAATGATTGATCAACCTTTGAAAAAAAGCCTAAAAAGGCGTTTTTGGCCTGTTTTTAAGAGTAGATGAAAAACGTAGTTCAGACTCCTAAATAGGTCGTGATGTCTCAAATTTAATTTTTTGCGTTTTGATTTCTTTTTCGGTTCACTTCAGTTCCTTTGTTAAAAGCAAGGTAAACCTCACTATCGAACAGCGAAAGTGTAAAGGAACCAAAAAACGTGATCGACTTCTAATTTCTAAAATGTATTGTAATTATCAGATTTCACAGCGAAACACAAAGTTTACTTTTTGGCCCAGTTTTCTCAAATTGGGTTATTTTTATCAAAAATGTCCATCAAAAATTGTTCTAGAATTTCAAAGAGCCTCAAGGCCACCTATTTTTTTCCTGAAATTCCAAAAAATGAGGTTTAATTTTTCTGTTTACTTGCGTTTATTGCCTCTGTTCCATCTGTCTTTCGGCTATGTTTTAAAACGTACGTTTGCGGTGCAGATTATTTAGGCAAAATAGGGTTTTTAAAGTGTTTTGGGAGCGCTCGGAAATCAATTAGGTCGACGTAAAAAATTTTCGAAGATTTTTTGAAAATCTCAAATAAATTCTAGATCCTGGTGCTGAATCTTAATAAATTGAAAACTACAAATAACTGATCAGAAAAGATGTTTATCAATATCTTTTCCATAACGAAATATGGTTTCTGTTTTTGCTCCTTTAATAACTTTTAACCTTAGAGTCTAAACCAAACGGCATTGCGTGAGTTGCGGTTCTTTATCTCTTCGAAAAGATCAATTTTGAATTTATGCCGGTCAGTGAATTCAAAGTAAGATTTGTTCTAAAGTTTGTTTCATTCAGCGATTTTGACTTAACTCTTTTATTCTTGCCGGTCACCGATGCTACTTCCTAAATTTTATTACAAGAGATAATGACCCAAAACCTGCAAAAAGTCCCTTGGCAATATTTTCAAGCTCGATAGGAAATACAATGAATGCAGGTAATAAAATTACAGTGTCAGTGAAGAGTCTCTTCAGAAATTTTGAGATCAAAGTCAAATAGTTTTCTTGTAATTCATTTTACAAAGGCTGACGACCTTCAAGTTCTCTTGACTTCATCTCATCCTTGCCGTGCCAATACTCAATGGTAAGAACATTTCTTTGAACATTATTATGCCAAGGGCGAGGGGAGGGGGACTTCTTTCTATTCTGTTTTTCAAACTTTTACTATTTTACTTCAACAATTTTTGGCTGATTTAAACTAAAAATTAGGAGCCAAAATATACAAATTTTAGGGAAAAGCAGGCGCGCGCGGTGTATCTTCAAAAAAGAATCACGCTGTGCATCATGTTTTTGATTGCCAAATATGGTCATTTGGCTATTTTTCTCTCCCTCCCACCTGCAAATTTCACCAGAAAACTTTTCTTCACATAATCCGATTGTTTTGCAAATTGGCAGGCTGACGAATTAGTAGGAAGACAAAATATATTTGCCGTGGCCTAATTAGCACGCATGCCAATTTTTGGGACTATGAACAAAAAAAATACTGGAAAAAATTCACAGGTGGGTGAAACGTAAAAAGAGTCGTGTGGTCTGTATATTTAATCTTGTAAAACGACGCGTTGCATCATATATTTGATGCTCATGTGAAGTTCAGGGAAAAACCGGCGGTCTGTAATTTTTTGGTTTTGTCAGAACTCGAAAAGCTTGAAATGGCTGTTTTTTTTTGATATTTGTCATGGGATTATGGAAGGGTAACGTTTGTATTCTATCGCTCGTTCCCCGCTCACAATAGCAAAACACACATTTTACCTCATCACTCATTTCCTTTAAATGTTCAACAACCACGGGAGTCTCAAATGATTTTTGAGGTCTCACATTGCTAATGGCATCCAAGCTTTCTAACATATTTGTGTACGCATACGGTTATTTTCAACGGTGACGCTCTTTTTTCTGATGGCTATGTTCTTAATTATACAAGCTTTAATAAGTCGCCGAAGCTGCTGTCTGAGTTCACAGTGAGGTCAGTTACAAGACACTCAAAATTTTGTTTTGTCATCAAAAGAGCCTTTAGCGATTGTTACAAGAAAAATCTGATACAAGAAAGATCAAAAACTAAACTGACTTAATGAAGGCAAATGAATGTAAGACCCAGCAAATAAAATTAGAATTGAATATTCAAAAAGGTTGCCCGTGTCAAGGCCTTGCCCTGAATGTTCCGACTGCCCTAGAACGTCTATGCAGTAGTTTTTGATTAAGAATTTGATGAAATTGATTATTTGATCTCCAGTTGGCTGAATTGGCGAATTTCACACCCACATAACTTACTAAAAGTAACAGGAGGTGAAAAATCTATTAAAGTGTGACCTCAGGGTATCGATGCTTTTCAGATGTTGCTGAAACATCTGCCGAAAAATGCTAGCTAAACGGTCAAAGTTTGTCTGGAAAGTAACCACACGGAGAAAGTCAAAATATAAAAAACTGATTTTTTTTTAAAAAAAGAAAGCAAGTCATTCAGACACAGTAGTGTAGATAAGTGCAATCGTGTTGATACGTGTTTCCAGTGGGTTCCAGAGTCATTTCATTTTTTTTCACTGGATTCCATAATTTTTCAGCGAATTCCAGAACTTGTTTCACTTGACACATGTTTAAGAAAACGCAATGTTGAAATGTTCAAACAGTGCCAAGTTATTGCAACGTTTATTTTGTTTCAATAAATTCAATGTTTTAAATTTCGAAGGTCATCTATTATTTTAACTTCCCATCAATTTTTCCTTATTTTGCAAGGCAAACTTGTAAAGCTTTTCGTTTCAGTTTTTATTCGACAAAATGGAAATTCTCAACCTTTCGGTAGTATGCTGTCAGGGTACACTCAGGGGTTGCAAATCTGGCCTCCAAATTTTACGGCTCAATCTCTTTGGTCTCTGAGATATGGTGTTTTATGATTGTTTCATTTTTTTTAATTTGGCTTAAAAACTACTATCAGAACTTGAAAATCATAATTTTATAGTGCATTACTCTCAGTGTACACTATGAGGTTGCGAAAAAAATATGACTGCTCAGCATCTGTTGGTTTTCGGGCTAAAGAGTTTTTTATGTTTTTTTTAAATATGATAAAATTCAGATTAGAAAACTTTACTTAAATTTTAAAATCTCAATTCGAAGGTGGGATGCTATCAGAATACACTCAAGGATTGCATTTTTGCCTTCCAAGAAAAATGACTATTCGAATCTTTTTGGTTTTCGAGATACGGCGTTTTTTATGATGCTTCCAAATTTTTTCTTCGAACAATTTGATTTGAAATAAAGTAACAGAACTGGAATTTTCAACCCTATGATGGGGTGCCCTCAGGGCACATAATGGGCTTGAATGCTGCCCTCCTATTATGACTGCTCAAATCCTTTTCAGTTTTGAGATATGCGTTTTCTTTGACTTCAGTTTTTTTTCCAACAAAAAAAATAAGTTTTCAATTTAGATTAGAATGAATTTAACAGAAATGGAAAATCTCAACCCCAAGGTGGTGTTTTTTTAGTATAAATTTCCGATTTGTAAATCTCGACTTCGTTTTTTTTTCTCAAACCTATTGTGGGATGCTTTCAGGGTACAGTTAGCTATTGCAAATATGGCTGTCAAATATTCAACCATATTTTGTCGCACTGTCATAGAATTCTTAGTGATCGCAAACTTCGTTTCTCTTTGAACTTTTCAGTTTGAATTTTCTAGATATAACAATTTGAATGTATTCTGTTTTTCAAACTTTTACTATTTTACTTCAACAATTTTTGGCTGATTTAAACTAAAAATTAGGAGCCAAAATATACAAATTTTAGGGAAAAGCAGGCGCGCGCGGTGTATCTTCAAAAAAGAATCACGCTGTGCATCATGTTTTTGATTGCCAAATATGGTCATTTGGCTATTTTTCTCTCCCTCCCACCTGCAAATTTCACCAGAAAACTTTTCTTCACATAATCCGATTGTTTTGCAAATTGGCAGGCTGACGAATTAGTAGGAAGACAAAATATATTTGCCGTGGCCTAATTAGCACGCATGCCAATTTTTGGGACTATGAACAAAAAAAATACTGGAAAAAATTCACAGGTGGGTGAAACGTAAAAAGAGTCGTGTGGTCTGTATATTTAATCTTGTAAAACGACGCGTTGCATCATATATTTGATGCTCATGTGAAGTTCAGGGAAAAACCGGCGGTCTGTAATTTTTTGGTTTTGTCAGAACTCGAAAAGCTTGAAATGGCTGTTTTTTTTTGATATTTGTCATGGGAT